GCTCTCGTTGTCCTGCGGGCTGGGGATGCTGGGCGAGGTGCTCCGGTTGTCCTGGTCGATATCCTTCGGGTCGCTGCTGCCCTCGTCGTTCACGCTGCGGCTGTCAGAGCTCTCCCCTTCCCCTTCGCCCTCCGACGGGGAATTGGGCCTGCTGATCTCCTGCTGGGGGGGGGGATAGGAGGAAGAAGAGGAGGAGGAGGAGGAGGAGGAGAGAAATGCACTTCACAGATGGCCAGCAAGTCACCCAAGGCGAGTAACCCTCTGAGACCCGCACAGTCTTCTCTCGGCTCTTGGCAGCCTACCAGGAAGGAGGACCTACCTGCGTTTTGGTTTTCTTGGCATTGATTCTGTCCGGCTCCTCCGTGTCGGAAGCTGCCTTTTCTCGTTGCCTCTTGGAACTCTTGAGAGGAGACGAGGCCTCTTCTTTGATCTTCTGCCACAAACAGAAAAGGAACAGGGCGGTTAGCGAGGAAGTGGCCAGGGGAACACACTTTTTTTTTTTGCAATCCCCCTGGGGAAGGCTTCACGCGGATGCAAAGCGCTGCAGATTGTGTTTCTAACGTCACCGGGGAGGAAGAGGCAGAAAACGTGAGCCATTCAATCTCTCTTAGCCTGTCTGGTTCTGCAAGGTTGCGGCCGAGGACAAAAGGGGGGGGGGGAAGAGAGCCATGTGCCTCACCCCAAACTGAGTAAAGGTGGGCTACAAATGGGAATAATACATTAAAGATGCAGCATTAGACTCTGAAGGGAAAGTCTTGGCTCAAACGCCGATGGGTCCGCTCGGACAAGTCAGACCTTGACTGGCCTCCAGCGAGTTCTGAGATGGGCCCGAGGGTCTCTCTCCTTCAACTTACTTTGGATGACTTCTTCACCGAATCGGCCTTGCTGTCGTTACTGGAGGTGCTGGCCGCGCTGGGAGAGTTGCGGCCGCTGGACCGGATGTCTTCGTTGATGGGGGACGCTCTGCCATCGGGGCTGGTGGGTTGCTTTTTACGGCCACTTCGTAGTGCAGACATCTGCTGGTGTGAAAAAAGGGATACAGGAAAGCGTGACAAAGGGAGCCCTCGTTTATGGTTGAGCTTCCAAAAATGAAACATCGTGGCTGGAGCCCAGCAAGAGGAGCGACGTGTCAGTCCTCTAGGAATCAGTGGGACAAATTAGGTACAAGCATCACAGGTCTCATTGATTTCAACAGGGTTACACAAGATTTGCCCCAGTCTGGCTCTGACCATCAGAACACCATGAGCTGCCTTCAGAGGGTTGTACTTGATGGCCTTGTCAGCCTCTTCCAACTTCACTTTTCTATGTTTCTGATTCTACTGTCCATTGCCCAATATTGAAAGACAACCCCCACCACCACCTGCAGGATCATCCGCTGATGCACTTACCCGCTGGCTGAAAATACTAGATTAAAAAAAAAAAAAAACCAGAAATGTGCATTTATATATATTTCTAGAAGAATTTACCAAAACTGGCCACTAGAGGGAGGCAGAGACCACGCAAAGCATGGCATTTGATATTTCCACATTTCTTTTGCATCTGGACGGGGATGTGTGTGTGTGTGTGTTGGGTTTCAAACTGATCCTCCACAGATACTATGGTCCTACTCTATTACATAGCTGGACTGCAACTCCCATCAGCCCTAGTAAGCATTCCTCGTGGTGCAGGATGAAGAGAGAGTGGCTTTCTACCAACATCTGTAAGGCCACACGCTACCTACTATCACACAAGTCACAGGAGTGGGGCTGGTAGCACCATCTTGCACATGATGCAGGTAAACTGTGCTAACTGCAGCCACCGGGTAAATCCCGACAAGTCCTTGCTTTAGAAGACTATTAGTTCTGACTCTTCTCTTCATGCCAAGAAGCAGCAAACCCAGCCCACGTTCTTGTTCTGAGTTATTATTAGTATCTGCTGAAAAACTGACACGTGAAAACGCTGTCTTGTTTTGTGTTCCTTCTGACGCACATGTGCCGTTCCAGAAAGGACCCCCTGTTTTAAGATTTCTCTCAAGCTAAGGGCTGCTAACGCACACTGAAGACTTATTGCGTTTTATTAAACGCAATGGCACAGCTGTCTTCCCTGGAGAAGAGGCTGAAATAATCCAAGAGCATCTACCTGGAAAAAAGCAGGTTGGAAGAGGAGGACATAATGTAAAAAAAACAAAAAACCATCGCCTCCATGTTGTATCAAGGATGATTTCTACAGCAAGCATGAGCACCATTTATTTCATCTGCCCCTTTTCTAACACAGCAGCTGTCTGGATTGCTAAAGATCATAGAAATTATAGAGCTGTCAGCACAACCCGGGGTTGGCAGGAGCCTTCATGCGACAGAGACGGGACCAGGTTGGCAAAGGAGGAGAAAAATGCACTGGCTGACGACTAATCAGTTTTAACGAGAAAGTGGACTCAAGAGTTTTCCTTCGTCTTCCTTTCCTACGGACGGCGTGCTGCATGCCCACGTCACTGCGGAGGGAAGACCTGCCTCTGTACAGACATTCTGAAAATTTCCAGGGTACACGCAAAGGATGCAGCCAACTTGGCACCTCCTCTAGCCCTGCGCAGAGATTCCACGTAAAGAGGGCCTTATGATGAGTGGCCTGACTGCGGAGTGCCCACGCTGCAGGCCATGGGTCCTGGCTTCCATCTCCAGCCTTTTCGATTAAGAAGAGCTAAGAAGGCAGGCGGGTGCCACAGCCCCAAAAGAGACATGGCCAGCCAGCAGGACTCGATCGATTCGGCTCGATCGGTCGTTCCCAGCCTTGGGTCACCTGGGGGGGTTCTTGGACTGCCGTTCTCAGAAGCCTCCACCACCTGCTGTGTGGCTAGGGTTTGTGGGAGATGCAGTCCTGGGCTAGACAGAACGGTGGCCTTGACTCTGTAAAAAGCGAGGTGTTCTTTCAGTAAGTGCTTTGAATTTCTCTACCCCCTTGGCTCTTGTAACAGGTGGATGGGTTGCACTGAAGGTTAGTAATAATGGGGGAGGTCGTCTCTTGGCGAGAGGACAGGAAAAGGTCACAAGAGCCTGTGTTAATTGCTAGAGTCTAAATCGGCATGTGCGTGCATTATAAATAATTTCACAGTATTTACAGAGTGATGGGATAACCATAATATGCATATGGAATTAACAACTTTGAAGGTTGCAAATCAAGGGGGTGAAGTCTCTTTTTAGCTCAGCTATGCCAGCCAACACATATCACAGCTTTCAGGCAGAAGATTCCTAGGCTCGCTTGATTTCAGCCACATCTTCTGTTTAGAAAGTCTGTGGCAGATTACTAGTTGGGAACTAGTGTTGGTTGTGGAAGCAGGACCCTCTCGGTTTAGAGTTTAAGATCATTTTCATTGCAGCACACCGAAATGTGGCAGAAAGAACAACCACCAAATAGTACCCACTTCGGGGGGAGGGAAGCTTATTGTATTTAGCCTCCTGCTTGGAGGCTCCATCCTGCCTAAAACAAGGGAGGGGGGGACAACTGACCCCCTTCCAGATGTTTTAGCTGACAATTCCTAATCAATACAGCCACTGATGTGGGTTAGTGAGAGCTGGAGTCTAAGAAACCAGGGCTCCCAATCTTGGGTCCCCAGATGTTGTGGGACTACAACTCCCAGCAGTCCTGGCCAATGCAGCTTGTGGCTAAGGCTTTTGGGAGTTGTAGTCCAAGAACCTCTGGGGACCCAGGGCTGGGAACCACTTGCTCTAGAACCTCTGGAAGGCCCCCAAAAGGGGAGGGGGAAACAGAAGCATAGGATTTTAGGCAGCTTACCGAGCCTCTACTCCGCCTTGTCCTCATGCTATGCTTCCCGCTGAGCCCATCCTCTTCCTCTTTGACAGGCTTGAACATGAAAGGTGGCGGGTCCACCGGCTTCTCGATGGGCGGGAGCTCCCCGTACTTCTTGAAGTGGATACGGCAGTCGGTACACAGCAAGATGTTCTCCCGCCCGCCGTGGTGCCAGTCCTTGGAGGCTGCGTGATCAGGGAGGAGGCGTCAGCAGGAGGATTTAGCACCCTCGGAACTAGCGGAACAACGCCCCCCCCCATCTGTATACTGCTCTGAACGAGAGCCCCAGCAACAACAGCGCTTCCCACTGGCTTTACCAGGTGGTTGTAAGGCTCACAGCTGGAATGTAGGTGTTGTTTGTGTGTGTGTGTGTGGGGGGGATTGGAGCATCTGAAACAAGCTCTAGGAAAGCAAACAGGTCTGAATCCAGAGCTTAGAAACCATACGGGCTGCCCTGGACTACAACTCCCAGGATCTGGCAGCTGGGGCATGCTGGGAAATGTAGTCCAGGAAGGCTCCTTTGTCAGACAAGTTCGTCTGAGACCGGCGGGGGGTCTGGAGAGCTGCTGGCAAACTGGCGACTGGGATCTAAGGCAATATGATAAAAGGGGGGGGGGGGGGGAGAGAGAGGCTGCTGGAGACTTGAAGGCGAATCAAAAGTACGTACTGGTGGTGAAGCAGTGGCGACAGGCGTAGCCCTTCAGCTCCTGCTCACTGTCCTCGCTGTCGAAATCATCTTCGCTGGCTGAACTCAAATCCACTGAGTGCGCAAGGGCGGAGGGGTGGGGGTGGGGGGAAGAGGAGGGAGAAGAGCAAATCAATGAGTCAGGACTTTTCCCCTTTCTTTCACATTTTTACTCTGCCATCAGCAGCAGCCACATAGCCATTCATTAGAGAAACGAAGGGGGAAAGCGTCTCAAGGCGCCCATGAGGACTCCCAGATTTATTGAGGCCGTTTCTTTCATGAGCTAGAACTTGCTCCCTCAGATGCGTGGCGTGTTTTATCTTAGCTGGTAGAGATACAAAGGCCGCGCGCAGGGAGAAAGGCAAGGGGGGAAGTGGCCCACTTCTTTTGCCCCCTTGCTCACGACTGCTCTTCCTCGTTCATTCCCCTGGGAAACGGCCAGAGGAGGAGACCGCTTCAGGAACCTGAGGAGGTGGGCTCCAATCCACAGCCCCCCTTGCCCATCCCACAACAGCTGCAAGATCTGCCCTGGGCCAGTCATGGCCAGCAGTGGGACTGGGAAACGGCCAAGAACCTATGCATAATCGGTGGCCCATTTACTCATGGAACTCGCAGGGCAAAACAAAACCCTTCTGTGACATCCACGGCCAGTTGTCTTCTACAGTGGATGTGATCCACAAGGGCAGGACACTTCTCCAGACGAGGGAGCATGCCTAGTGATACACCTTTCCAGCTATAGTGCCTTCCAATTTGGTTCCAGACCAAAACGTTAAACCCATGAGCAGCGTGGGTTAACCTTCAGAATGCTTAGACACCGTCCGCATCTCGTAAAGATCTACACTGGGAGGGTCCACCGGCAGGACCTTCTCAGTCGCACCTTCTAAGGCCTTGTGTCATTCGTTTCTTGTCCTGAAACCTGCATTTTGTTCTCTCCCTCCCTGTCTTCGGACAGACATTGCTGATCAAACTTTTTATACAGACCAAAGTCTTCGTTTCAGTCCCTTCCTTCTTTCTTTGCTGTGTGTATTTTCAAACCTGTGGCCCTAGTATTTTTTGTGGTTCTGCTTTATTTTATGGCTTTATTTGTTTCTAAATCCTAGGTCCGACATTCTGGGAGCTTTTTGCTGAGAAGCGGAAAACAGGGAACTAAATGGGCCGTGCTTCACAAGAAAAATGCCTTTGAACCAAGGAAATCTAAGCTCTTCGCTTTGCAGAAATGATGTGGTCTTGCATAAGATATTTGGACAGTCGGGGGGGGGGGAGGTATCCAGGACACCGACTGCTCTTGTCCCCATCCCCAAGCACTTACCTGCTCTGTCTGACTGCCTTCTGAGATTTCAACAAGCCTATCCCACCTCCTCTGAACTGACTACAAGTTCCCCACAGTCACAATGGCTAGAAACATGATCTGAGGATCGTTTAAAAGGCAGAGGGTTCTGGGGAAGTGGATTCTCTGGCTTCCTGCTGCTCTTCTTCAAATCATGGGCCACACAGAAGAGCCCCGATGTTACCCAGACAGTGGCAGGGACACACCCTTTCCATTATCATACCACGTGGTTTGTGGTTGATTATGTTGGGTTGTATATACTTGTCATGGTTTGGGTTTGCTTAGTTCTCCGCATAGTTGTTTTCTCTTGATTATTTTGGATTTTTAAAAAATGTCTTTTTTGCCCCCACATAGTACACCGATTGTTTCCTGTAATGTAAACCACCCAGAGTAATGCTCAGCTCTAATTGGGCAGCATAAAAGTTTATAAAACAAACAAGGAAACAAGCAAAGAAAGAAAGAAAGAAAGAAAGAAAGAAAGAAAGACTCTAATGGGTAATTTAGTGGCATGGTGCTTTTCCTTTGATGTTCCTCTCTACTATCTTCATCAGAAGCTAAGAAAAGAAAAGAAAGAAAAGAAAAGAAGAAAGAAAAGAAAAGAAAAGGAAGACAGGCTTTAATTCCAAGCAGGTAATAGATCTGGAGTGAGTGCTGTATTCCCATGCAAAAGAAAAGAAAAGAAAAGAAAAGACAGGCTTTCATTCCAAGCAGGTAACAGATCTGGAGTGAGTGCTGTATTCCCATGGACATTAGGGCAAACATAATAGCCTTGACAGATAGTGAAAGCAAAGCTTCCATAATTTCCATAGTTTTCTGTCCTGGGCAAAAAAACCCCAAAAGTTGATTTTAAAGATCAACTGAAAACATGGATGTTTAGGCAGGCCTTCCCCCCTCCAGTTAATTCCTAATTCCTTTCCCCTCCTTTTTTAATATGATTTTTCGTTTTGCCATCTTGTAGAAATTTTCTTAGTTGTGTAAACTATTTTTTTATATTATATATACACCTGTTTTATATTTGTGTTGTAAGCTGCCTAGAGTGGTCGTAATGACCAGATAGGCGGGGTATAAATGAAATAAATAAAATAAAACAAATAAACAAAAAGAAGGCCCCAAAGCCATGGCTCAGCCATCCCAGACACCTGCCAACCGTGGAGGATAATGAATGGGGAGCTGAAGCACAGGTGAGGTCTCATTTTCCTGGCTGCATTTCAATTGGAGGCAGAGGGCGATTCCCGTCTGTTTCAGCCCCAACGCATCTGGACAGAGATAGATGGGCCACTGCTCGCTTCCTACTTACAGAATTCGCTGGACGGGGGTCTGGAGGGAGTGTTAACCGGCGTGGACGCCGTCCGGGTCTTAATTCTCCGAAACACCGCCTGCCTTCGATGCCGGCGGTGAGCCCGGGAACTCGCCGCTTCAGGGGTTTTCTTCCAGTAGTAATAGAAGGTGATCAGTTCTCCCTGCATAACAGCCACGAAACAAAAAAGGACAGGAACACCAAGGTTATCAAAGCTGCTGGGGGAGTTCTCTTGCTGATGTACCTGTTCTGCACAACCATGCCTTCTGAAATTGATGGAAGGCAGCTTTATTGCATCCCATTTCACATGCAGCCCCCGCCCTGCCCCCAGATATATCTTGAGAAAATCATTTAGAAGGCAGTAACGGAAAGAAGAGAACTTATTCATCAGAGCCTCCATGGACAGGGACCGACGACGTCTTGGGGCTGCCCCTCACCCCCCCCACACACGCTCTGTATGATTCTGGAGCATCTGGAGAGCCACTTTCCAAACTGAACTGCTGGCTGATTGGATTTGGTCTGCTTTAGTGTAGCAACTTTTAAACTGAACAGATAAGGGTTCCAAATGGGCCAGCGGCGAACATTTACAATCAAAGAGGGGAAATAACGGCACCTAAGAACATCATCAAAGAGCTGGCTTATATCACCTCATGTCCACCTAGTCCAGAATTTTGATAATTAAAAAAATATGGTCTATTCTTGACTGGCAGGCTCACCAGCAGAAATCCTTCCAGTTGTTGGCAGGAACCGAACCCAGGACCTTCTGCAGCCCCGCGAGATACACACTCCTCCTGAGCTGTGCCCCATGCGGCTCTCCCACACGGAGGAGGGCAGCCGCCTCCCACCTGGTGCACCTCCAGGTGTGTGAGGCTACAACTCTCACCCTTCCTACAGCTGGGACAGGATGCTGGGTTGTTATGGGACACACGTAGGGAGGTCCACACAGGGGAAAGCTGGCTCTTCTTAGCCTGGGGTGGAATTCCCATTGGAAAAAGTGCCTTTCAAGGGGCAGGATCCCACAAAATGCTTCCGTCGACCAACCGATCCGATCAGTCAACCTAGCTAAGAGCAAGTGAATCAACAAAACTACCTTTAAAAAATATGAAAATTCAGAGACTTTGAAAGGTTTTAAAATGCTCTTTAACAACACCATCAATGAACCCTGCGTCTACGGAAAGGCTGGAAACCAAAGCATGGTTCCACTAGGTGCCAAATCATCAGAAGGGAGAGCAAGGTTTCAACTTGATGCCGGGGGGGTGGGGAGAGGAATGCCAGTCTTCAAGGGGAGGGCATTTTACCATGGGGATACGTCAGCTCTGTGAAGGATCCCCTCCCTTTTCTTACTAATATAACAGAAGGACACTGCAAAGCCTGAGGCCCTTCCTCAGCAGAATCCCACCACCACCCACTGTAATGCACAGGCTAACGTGGCACTTGGACACGGGACTGAACCCAGCACTGCTCCAGCGAGGACAGAACGACAGGAAGCTCCAAGCCATGCACGTGGTCAAAAAGCGGGGAAAATGAAAAGGATTTCCAAGGCTCTTTCGGCTTGCTGAGATGCCTCAAAGTGACGGCTGACAACTGAACCGAACTTCTGCCAGCTCTGAAAAAAATTCATTGTCAAAGGAGCAAGAAGCAGTTCTGATGAGATTATATAGTTTATTATTCTATATAATCCACCTGAGAGAGCTGTCTGGATTGAAAGGCCAGTTAAGAGAAATAGAATCTGCAATGAGATCCTGTGCAGAACAGCTCCTCATTTAGGAATCTGGGATGGCAAAAGGGAATCCACTGCGTAAATATGCCCTCCAAGGCTACTCTACGATACAGCTGTGCTCTGAAAACTGGTACTTGCGGTGTGGTGTTGGGAGAGAATCACCACCACAAAAAATATAAGAACAGTTTTATTTTACACATGGATACCCTAGGACTTCAATGTGGGTTTTTTTCCTTTTCTTTAAAGGACACTTGAGATTAAAACATATTAAAGACAATGCTCTAGTCACAAGTATTGAAACTGTACTACTGCAATCTATCCCCCCCCTTTAATCTTACTGTATACAGCAACATTAAGATAATTATGCAGTAAAAGCGCATGCCAAGAGAAGTTTCTGATAATTCCTCCGCCTAATGAATCTGGCTTACACTCAAAAAACCAGAGCAGACAATATTCAAACTAGCAGGTGTAATGTCGAGCAAAAACACAGCGTGTAGTTTTAATCTTCTTTCATCTTTTGCTTTGAGAAACCATCATCTCACCCCCGCCACCTCCAGCGGCAAGCCAGCCACAAGGGTAAAAGGCCTGCTACCGCTTTTCAAGTTGCAGGGGAAGCGGGAGGGGTGTGTTGGGGTGTGTCCCCCCCCAACCTCAGCACCAGCACACCCCAAATGCCCACAAGAGAGAGGGGACGAAGGGGGGGGGAGCTTCCTTTGAACCCACGGCGGATCTAATTGTCCCTGATAAACCTCAACCTGTTAACACGACATGTTTTGCAGCTGCTGGAACTTCCAAGCCAAAGAAGAGGGACCGTGGAGGGCCCTGCCAGCGGGCAAGGGAACAAACGGACAGAGGACGGGCTCACAAAGCGTGGGCCGAGATTCCTTCAAGCCTCTGAAAGCAAAAACGAACGCAAAGCACCCAACAGCAGGCGAGAGACAGGAAAAACTGGGATTGGGGACAGAATCCAGTCCCGCTCGGCATGCTAACAGAACACGCTTGCAGTCACAACATAGCCATATCACAATGACAAAGGGAGCTATATACCTACGGGGATGTGTGTAGGCGTGGTATGTACGTTGGCTGGAGGATGTACGTAAGCATTCCTATGTATACACCTCTAATATATCTAATAAACATCTTTATTGCTTAGCCAAAGGCCATCCGTCACCGCTAGCTCTATTATGCAATAAAATGAGGAGAAACACTGCTTAGAATATAATTAAAACCACATTTATTCCTATGTCTAATATAGATTTTACAACAGTTATCTTTTACAACAGTACCTTAGAAAAACCGCAGATCGTAAAGCGCAGTGCTTAGAAGAAAGCCGCGGGAGGGGGCCCGCGCCCCAACCTCTAAGGGTGGCTCTTCTCCAACCACAGAAAACTCCAGCTTTACAAGACTCTGTCACTCCTGTTCTAGGGCCCTTTTGGGGAAAGGGAGGGACGTTTGGAGCACCAACCCCTTGCCCTAAAGCGCCCACCGTTTTGTACGGGCCCGACGACAATCTACCAGGAAGGCACAACTTCACCCAAACCCCTGTGGAGAGAGCAGCCAACATCACTGGGTTGGGGGGGGCTGTCCAACCTCCAAACCCACCACCTCTTCTCCCCCTTGCAAGAACGTTCACCTTGTAGACAAGTTCCATTTTGCTAGATTTCTTCAAGCTGTTCACTCTGGAAGACCACACTTTGAGGAGGGGGCAAAAAAAAAAAGATACAGAAGACCAATGAAGGAAATCTAAATGACTTTGAGCGGTTTTGTGACTCCACTGGGCTATCAAGAGAGGATGGTGATGAGTGAATAAGCCTTCACAAGAAGAGGTTTAAGGCCACGCTTAAGAAAATGCTTTCTGCCTCTGATGGTGAATTTGGTGGTCTTGTGCTTATCATAAAGGCCACCCACAGACACGGTAAAGGGGTCTCCAGAAACAGAGAAATATTCACTTGTCAATGGTTTAAAAAAAATCCACAACCCAAACCCTAACCCCCAAGTATGTGTACACTTTGGTGTAATTCTGGACAACACTTGTTGCAGAGTATACTGCAGTTTTGGTCTTGTTTTGTTTGTTTGTTTTGTTTTTTAATCTCAAGCCTCCTCCAGACCTCACTTTTGGGAGAAAGGCAGAACATAAATGAAAAAGCCTATTGGCAAGGGCTGTCTTTTCTTGACAGTATGTGAGCTTTTTGGCTGAGAAATGAGATAAGAACACAATACAGTACAGTACAATACAGTACAACAGTGGTAGAGACCTCACACTATAACGAATGTGTTAAGTCTTTATAAGTGTCACAGGACTCTTTTGTTGTTTCTGCTGCAACAAACTAAGAGACACACTTTTAAAAAAATGTCCCTGAGAGAAGGCTATTATCCAGGAACCAAGAGGTGCTGAGGGATAGGGCGAAGGGGGGGGGAAGGCGACAACACACCCGTGAGGGCCAGGATGACACGGTTCGCTTGGCTGAATGCTTCACAACAACGTACAGTATGTTTCCTTGTAGGCAGGTTGGATGGAACTCCCTTCCTCTCCAGCCAGCATGGAGTCCAACAGATCCGGGCTGGCTGACAGGTATCCAGGGGTTTGGAGATTGACCCTTTGATGCCTCTGTGCCAGAAAAGGAAATGGCTCCGTTGGGCACCATGGCCCAAGCATTTGGGGGGCCCTGCACTCTGAAGCACGTGGGTGTGCTCATGGTGAACACACACGCACACGCACACGCGCACACACACACCCCTTTGTGATCCTCTGCCAAGTCCTAATTTGTTAGCAGCCAAATCTCAACTCAAGCGCAGTCTCAGAACTCAGAACTAGATGCAACTGGCAGTTTCAATTGGAGATGATCAAATACATCAATGGGACTCTGGTAAGTGATAATTTTGTAAGTCCTATTCACAGTCAAAATTTTGTTGCATCATGTAATGTTGTGAAAGGTGATGAGGTTGCTGGTACAGGGAGGGTTTTATTTTTTTTATTTTTTTTGGTAGTTACAGATGTCCTAATTCAATCCTATGCCTTTTACAACTTTTGTGTAATGACTTTCATCCCATACAAGCCATGAGTGCCATGGGACAGGAGGAAGGAATCTTTGATTACTGAAACTCTCCCCTGCCAGTAACATAATCTGACAGCAGAGGCTTTTGATAATTAAAGACACCCTCCTCCTGCCTCCCAAGTTCCTACAGCTTGCATGCAGTGAAAGTGATTATAGGGAAGTTAGAAAAGCCATGAGACAGAACAAAGAAGTACTTAATTAATTGCAACAAAAAAATCATTCCCATGCTGGTGATGTTATCACACTTCCACGATTGAATTCTGGTCACTAGTTCTACTCTAGTTACAACTAACATTTGGGTTCTACTTTACGTCTAGACTTTACATTTCAGTATTCAAGTGTTTAAAATAATGTGGTTTATTTGTGTCCAAGTAAGGTGAGGAACCA